AGAGATGGTGGGGTCAAAGGTATCGGAGCAGATAACACTAATTTCTGTCCCCACCACCACCACTTGTGTGAAGTGCCGTTTTGCTTGCATCCTCACCAATGTTAGGCATTACCAGTCTTGCTGATTTGAAAGGCAAAAATATGTGTTATTTGACTTTGAATTTCTCTAAGGCCTTAAGCATTATGGGGGTTGTTTTTTTTGTGGGGAATGAGGAGTAAATTATTTATTTATATATATTTCTTGCTTTTCTATTCTGATGTTTTATTTTTTTCCTTTCTTTAGTTTAAACAGCTTTATGTATAGTAAGAAGTTTAAGTCTGTCATCCAGGTGATAAACAGTTCCCTGTACTCTCATTTGTCTATTCAATTCAATTCGTTTATGATATCTGTTATAGGAAAAATGTTTTAGTTTTTTAAACTCAAATTTATTTTTCTTTTTTTTTTTCTGAGACGGAGTTTCGCTGTTGTTACCCAGGCTGGAGTGCAATGGCACGATCTCGGCTCACCGCAACCTCCACCTCCTGGGTTCAGGCAATTCTCCTGCCTCAGCCTCCTGAGTAGCTGGGATTACAGGCACGTGCCACCATGCCCAGCTGATTTTTTGTATTTTTAGTAGAGATGGGGTTTCACCATGTTGACCAGGATAGTCTTGATCTCTTGACCTCGTGATCCACCCGCCTTGGCCTCCCAAAGTGCTGGGATTACAGGCATGAGCCACCGCGCCCGGCCCTATTTTTCTAACTTTTCAAGTGAGCATTACATTCATATAATTCAAAAACTGAAAAAAGAACACAAGAGTTTTGGAATGGAAATCTCGTTCCTACCCCTGTGCCCATCCATCCAGTTCCTGTGCCCCCTCAATCAATGGTGACAGATACCATGATTGTTAGTGGCTTATGCACTTTCCAGAGTTTACTTTTGTGTACAGACACAAATATAAATATTGATGCTTATTTTTCCTCTTTTTATATACATAAAATGTCGAAGACTATACACATATTCTATACCTTGGTATTTTTCATTTAACAGCATATTTTGGAGTTCTATTTCAGAACATTGTGATCTTTATCACTCTCTATAGCTGTAGAATATCTTGATAAGAATGCTTTGTACTTTTTAAATGTTAAAAAATAACTTCTTATATTTCTTATATTTTGATAGTTTCAATTTTTACATTTATGTATATAATCAACCTGGCAGCTGTTTTCACAAAGGTTGAATCAAACATTCATTTTTTAAAAAACAGCGATCCAGTTGTCTCCGTGGTGCTTCTTGGATAATCCATCTTTTTCTCATTGATTTGAAATGCCATTTTACCCTATAATAAATTTTTATAAACACTCATGGCAGTTTCCAAAAAAAATCTCCATTATGTTCTATTGATTGATTTGTCTGGGCCAGAACAGTACTGTACTGTTTTAATCTCACCAGTAGTATTTTAGTGTATTTTGTTAACAGGTGAGGCAAATACCCTTCTTCTTATTTTCAAACATTTCTTTATTATTATATTTTCAAATATTTCTTCATCTTCTTTTACTTTATGGGTAAACTTTATAACTAATTAATCAAGTTCAAAAAACTTGTTAAAATGTTGATTGGCATTGCGCTACATGTATAGATAAACTTGTGGATAAATATCTTCAAATATTGGCTTTCCATTTGGAGCATCAAATGCTGCCTCTAGTGATTAAACTCTTCTATGATTTTCTGTCAAGTTTTGTAATTTCCTTTTTTTCTTACATCTTTTACATTTTTAAAGTTAATTTCTAGGTATTTTATGTATTTTTTTGTCACCTCTTTTTCTCCTCAGTATATCTAATTGATTCTGGAATAAAGTTTGCTACTGATTTTAGAAATTTACCTAGTTTTGTTTTGTTTTAGCTTTTATTGTAGAAAATCCCAAACATACATAGAACTAAGGGAAGATATGATAAATCTCTGTGCTCCAACCACCCAGCCCAGCACCCATCACCCTGAAGCCAGTCCCACACCATCTATGTCCTGTGCGTGTCTCCCACCAACTCCAAGTTATTTTGAAGCAATGACTAGATGTATTTCAGTATAAATTTTTAAAAGACGTGGGCTCTTTCTTAAAAAGCCTAGCTACAATACCATTGTAACGCTTTTAAGTAATACTAACAACAATCCTTTCATTTCATTAAATATCCAGGGTTCACATTTCCCAAATATCTTTAAATTATTTTTAGCAGTTCCTTTAAATAAAAACATAAATAAATTCCATGCATTGTAATTATTTGATGTCTCAAAACATTTTTTAACCTACAGGCTCATCCTCCTTTTTTTTGCTTATTGTTACTGTTGAAGAACTCACGTCTTTTTTTCTCTAGAGTTCCCCGTGTTCCATTTTTTTCTATTTGAATTCAGTGGTGTCATTTAACATGTTCTTCTGTTCCCTGTGTTCCTTCCAGTCCTATTATCAAGGTTTCTCTAGTCATTTTGGTTGGTTGTAGCTTGTTCTCCTGTGGATTTTCAAGAAGGGCTCATGGAAACATTCTCTGAGTTCGTGCATGTCCATAGTAGCTTCTCTGCAGACTTCCTGTTTGAAGGTCAGTTTGCCTGAATGTGAAGTTCTTGGCGATTGTGAGTCTCTTCCATTCTCAAGGCTGATAGACACCATATTATCCCCCTCTGCTTGCTTCTGTAGGGCTGCTAGTACCACATGGATCTTGTGGCTGTCTGTATTTGTCCCCACCTGTTCCTGTTTGAGGATCTTGGGAATGTCATCTCCTCTTATTTTGTTGTAGATACTATCTGTGGATTTTTGGTTTGGGGATCGTATTTTTTGTTTTTATGGAGGATTCAGGAAGATTAAAGAACTCTAAAATTATCCCTTAACTCAACAACTTACCAAAATGTATGGTTTTTAAAAGTTTTCCAGCTAACTCCTATGAATTTTTCTAGCTGGAAAAATTCTACCATCTGTTTTTTATTTTATTTTTTATTCCTGAGAATTCTTTCTTGTTCTCATATTGTTCCTTTGCTGATTCGGTTTTGCCTTCCCAAACTTCTCAAATCTCACTGAGGATTCAAAGTGGAATATTTAAGAAGTTCTGTCCTTTTCGGCTTTAATTTCATTTTGGTGGGAGCCGATTATTCAGCTTACTCAAATATTTTATTTTGTGTTTGTATTCTTACAGTTAAAATCTACATTGATTAGTTTGGGAAGATTGTGTAGTTTCAGCTAGCAATTATGTGGATTGTAGTTGGACTTCCTGGTGGGTGTCTCTCCCTCCCAACTGCTCAGCCGGAGTAGATGTCTTCCACAGACTGCGGTCTAACTCTTCCTCAGAGTGGATGGGCTATAAGAACAGCTCCACAGCTGGCTTACCTTCGGAATATACCAGCTGGGAACACTGTAGGAGATCCCCTGTGTAGTCACGGGAGCCCATTTAAATGCAATTGATGGCGTTTATAATTGTTTCTCATTGATTATGCACAGAATTGACTCAATAGTTATTTCTCCATGATCACTTTCCTCTCCTTCTTTCTCAAGACAACAATTAGGAAGGAATGTGAATGACAGTGATGACATATTAGAAGTAATCTTGAATTTGCTTTAACATGCATGTGGGCAAAATAAAAGGCGAATTACTTAAAAGCTCAAGTACTTTATTAGTCAAATGTGATAAATTATATGTGATGCACCTCAGAATTGCTATCGACAAGCCAAGTGTCTCAAAATCTCAGCATCTCGGGTGAAAATCATGGATTTTGTGTAACATAATTCATTGTGCATGACACATGATATGCAGTGCTATAATAACAGAAATGCTGTCAACTAAAGGAACTTTGAGATTCTTCTGTTGAACCTAGCTCTGGCGAACCTTCAGTAACATTTACGAGTTGCAATATTTGTGTTGACTTTTTTTTTTTAACAATATTAGTTGATTTACTCTGAGTTTGATCAAATACAATAATCATCACATTCTCCTGTTTAGTTATGCTACGTACACAGATAGAGCCGTACTACGAGAAAACATTTTTATACACCACTTTAATGACTTTTGTGGTGAAGACACTTTTAAGGACAGAGCTCATTTAGGTGAATATGCCACAATTGATAACAATGAGGTTTGTTCATGGTTTAATTAACAAGTTCCTACATGGTTGTAAAAATTCTCTCTGTTTTGACTTACTATAATATCCTCAAATTATGATCCACATTATTTAGAGTATTTAGATGCCAAGGTAGAAATGGGATCTGAATATATTTCAGTGGAGGTTCTCAAAGGAAAGTAGAAAATCGCTTCATAGGCAAAGGTGGAGGAGAGGAGCGTGCCCATGGTCCTCCCAGGTAACAAACCAGTATTCAAATGGTGCATGAGAAAGACAGATTCTGATCATGATCCTTTTCTCTCCAGTTTTTCAAATTTGCCTTCTCTGGAAAGGCTGCTGAAATGAGGACATTTTATTTGCCTTTAAACCAGACAGAACGCCAAGTGTTGTTAAAGATGGTTCTGCTCCTGAATCATTAAAGGCCAGTAGAGGAGCAGCAATGAAATATGCCACTTTTTGACATTCCATAACATTGCCCTTCACCGCAGCTGCCAAAAGTGAGCAGCTGCTTCTTACATTCCCCTGCCATTTCCTAGCTCTGCTGGAGGAGGTCAGCTCTGTTTTCTCATTACTAGTCTTTCACCGGCTGGGCATCTGGCTTCATAGTCCTGGTATCTTAATTCAATATTTCCTTTATCTCATAAATGACATGGTGGGTAGATTGAGCAAGCTACAGCAATAGCTTTTCCTGGTGAGGCCCCAGGGACCCAGGCCTAGAGGTTGAACCCCAGAAATCCAGCCCAGGTGATTCAAGAGCCATTGTATGTTTCTGTTGGGCTAGGAGGTAGGGGTGCTCTTGAGGACACAGAGAGAGGAGAGAGGTGAGGAAATCGAGGTCTGCTATCTGTTCCCACTTCTCACTTGCTGACATTTGACAGAAGTAATGCACCTGACAATGAGAAATACATAGACAGCTCTCCTACCTTTGGCTGTAGCAGAATCTGATGTTCTATAGCAGTGAGAATATTTCTCTTGGGGGTTTTCTAGTTCCATCCATTGCCTCTGTAAATATGAATAAATAAATTCAAGATTAGAAATTCCCATTTAGATAATTTGAATTAAATAACAAGAATGCAATACCGGACTAGGCATCAGATGCCTGCATAAAACCAATCTTGAGGTGTTGGCCGGGGCCTTTGTAGGCTGTGGCGGCCCTATGTCAGGGTATAGGACCACTCTGGGGACAGAGGCTCTGTCTGGGGTGGGGCTGAGGGATACAGGGCCATAGAGGGGGTCTGGATATAGACTCAAGTACACTGGGATGGATCCAGACCATTGCTGGAAAGACTGTAATGCTTCTGCGTGTTATTTTCTCACCTCCGGCTAGTATTTGGAGTTCTGCCTCTAGACAGCCATTCTTTTAGTTTAGGTTGACACCTCATTAAGCTGTGATTGTGCATATGAAGATGAATTGGTCAGTTTTCTCATGAAAGAATTTTTTTAGGGGCAGGGGAATTGAGGAATAAGATGGAGAATTACTTGATGTGGATGAAGGTGGGAAGTCAGCTTGAGGGGAGGAACAGGAAAAAAAAAGGGAAAGGAGAATGGGCACCATGGAATGGGAAAGACCTACAGAATATGAGTAACAGTAACACCAGAGATAGAGCCCCTGTGTTACCTGAGGATCCAAAGTAGTTTGCCCAAACAATTGTGTAAGAAATTCTGATGATTCGTAACCCTTATCTTCTAAGAGACACTGCATGCAGAGAAAGAACCACACATCTCAGATATTCTGGACCACTTAAACATCTTAATGTTTCTGGATTGATGTCTGTTACCACTCAAAATATCTCAAAAACACTGCTGTTTTTGTTTCTGAAAATATTTGAGATCCTTGAGACTCAAAAGTGTGTTCTGTGGATCTGTAGCATTGGCATTATCCAGAAGCTTCTTAGAAATGTCGAATCTCCGGTCCCACCACAGGCCTAGCGAAAGCAAACTAACACAATCTCCAGTTTGTGAATCATGGTTCTAGAGCACCTCTTATAATTGGCTGCATGAAAATGATTTGTCAGAGCAGGACAAAGCGACCTTTGTAGAGAAACCCAGAGGAGGTTGTATTTTTTCATTACCAGAGCTGAACTCCTCCTTGACGTGGCCCTGTGTGGGACCTGGCTAATGCTCATTTAGTACACATCTGCCTCACTGGGAAAAAAGGATTAAGAGCTTTGGAAGGGAAATAACATCACAATATGTCTGCCACTGAAGCTCTTTATTTCTTGTATAAAAATATTTCACTTTAAACCCTAGAGCGATACCAAACACTTGTTTGTGATTTTTTTCTTGTTGTTCGTCAGCAGAAAAATGACTGAGCCCATGTGGCAGCTGGAAGGTCATATGCACTCTTCCAGCCCGGGAAGGATGCAGACAGCATCTGCAGCCCCACCAGCCAAGGGAAGCAGATCTGAGAACTAACCCATCCCTCTCATTGGCTCCTTAAAATAATTTAGGAGTCAGACCATCATGATGATATTGATCGTATTAGTTGAGTACTGTTAGATTCCCAAGTTAATGCAGTCTATTGAAGAACTCTGTCTTAATATAAAATGCAGACAATCTTCAAAAACATATAAGGCATTCTTCGTATTTCAGAATTCACATACCTTGCATCTTTAAAATCATGTAGGGACTCAAGCTCTCTTGTTTACTATTGAAGAATTAAAAAAATAAGGACTGATTAAGGAATTCACATAGTGGTCAGTATCATCAATCATATATTGAAAGATTCCAACCTTCCATTCAAGAAACTACTATCTTTTAAATCAAGAAAATGCCTAGGAGAGCCTTTCCTTGTGAAGACAGCACTTCAAGGTTTTGCCCTGAAGTACTTTTTCCTATGGTATTAGCTGCTAAAGTGGATGAAATCCTCAACACGAAGACTTTCTCACTAAGAGAAGGAAGACATGAATCAAGGAACGTGATCACCAAGCCTCAACACCCTATGGTCACCTGGTTTGCCCCAAGACAGCCCAGGTTGATGCCTCATATCCTGGTATGATTATTACTAACTCCTTCCTCCCTCATTTGACATGGACCTTAAATTGTTAGATTTACAAAAGTGCCAACTGTGTAGGCTATGAAAAGTCATCAGATGATCATCTACATATGGCTTATCTTCTAAATCCCCACTCATTACTGGGGCCCATGTGGCCCTTCAGGAGCTGACCCTGCCTACCATTCCAGTGTCACTTCCAGCATTCTCCAATGTACTCTGTGTTCCAACTCTGTTGAACTACGGTGTTCCCAGAATGTGGCATGTTTGATTTCTCTGTGGTTTGTATGTGGCAGTTCTCTCTGCTGTTGGGAATTCATTTTCCCCACAATCTGCTCAGCCAACTCTTCTCCCAGACTCTTCTCATACGAGCCCTTAGTAAAATCTCATCTGGCAGCCTCCATTTTTGATGCTTTGTAGAGCTTTGACTCACTGCTAACTGTGTGTGGATTGTACCATCAGGCCCACTATGCGTTATGCCCAGCGCAAGTTTGTGCAAGGGAGAAAAGAGAGAGATAAGAAAAAGAAAGGAAGGAAAGAAGAAAGAAAAGAAACATGGAGAGAAGGAATAAAGTAGGCATTATCACTGTAGAGTCAATAGTTGCTAAAACAGAAACTGGAATTTGGGAGTAACTTTTGCATAAGACTGTGAGATTTCTCTAATTCTTTGTTCATATTTATTTTCCTCTTGTCTTTTCCTCATTGTTTATAATACAGCTTCAAATGTCTTGTGCACTTCTTGAGACAGGCTAGGAGGGAGAAGCAATGAGATTGCATATTCTGCAATACTGCAGGGAGAAGAGTCTGGTTGGAAAGAATCAGTGAAGGTCCTTTTAAGACAGGAGGAGAAAATCCAATCCTGGAGCGATGGAGAAAATAAAAAGCATGGCAGGGGCTAGCCTGGGATCACAGAGTGTCCCAGGGGTGTCTAAACTGGCAGAAGATCCTGTATACTGTCATCTGGTTGAATTTCAAAGTAATAGCTACATTTATTATAATACTGTTTAGGCAAGGACAGAAATCAGTACAAAGGAGTTTCTATTCCATGAGGATCTCATTAAAAGATGGATGCTTATAAAGAGAAGGTCTTAAGATGTCAGTGTATTTGGCCAAATATGCTTCATCACTTCTTCAGGCAGTTTCTGAAGTGTAGTCCATGGATCACCTGCACCAGATGATGCTGGTGGCTTGTTAAAATGCAGATTCTTGGGCCCTTTCCCAGACCTGCTGCACCAGAATCTCAGGGAGCAGGAGTGGACTCCAGGTTTTCCACAGCTCATGGGGGTTCCTGTATTTACTACACTGTGAGAACCACTGCTCAGGGAGGGGCTGGTGGCTTTTCCTCACGATATTCTACCTTGGACAGGCGTGAACTCCATGGAAGAGTCAACATTTTCACACAATGGTTGAGTTGTAGAGCTAAAATGCCCCATATCACTATCTGAGCCTCCACTGGGAAACTCGGGCAGAGGGGGTAGGCCTCACCTCCAGCCATGTTTCTTTTGCCAGGGACGATCTGTGAGGTTCCATGTTAATGACACGGATGGCTGAGAGGCTCTAGAAAATTCCTCTTCCGTGTTTCTTTGCAGCAGAGGTGGGGATGAGATTGCAGTTAGCCTGACATCTTTTTGAATGTCTTGCATCAAGGAGACAGGCATCTGATTTCCCAGCTGGCTTACTTTGGCTATGCTGGAACTTCTATAATAAGCTCTGTCCAGTTTCTAAAAATTTGTGGAAGGTCAACATAGTGGGTCTTTGTACTTACTGGCCAGGAGATGAGATGCAGATCAGCACAAGGGAGAGGCAAAGTCTCCTTAGGAAAATGAAGCACTGACATTTTCAGTGCTACAGCAGAGAAGACGCTTAGAGTGGAATGGTAGCCATTTTCCAGCTGTCCCTAAGTGTCACGTACACATTACACTGACGTATGTGGCATTTTGGAAACTATTAATATTTTTAAATTGCCTTTTCCTATCATTTAAAATCATTTTCTATTCCACAGAACCCCTAAGTCCGTTACTATTCCAAAATGTTGGGAATCTACCTAAGAACTTTGATTACCAACTTATTTGGGAGCATATGTGTATTTCCTATGGAATCTTTGTATTACTTAAGAACAAATTATTCAGGATGATAATTTCCGTATTATTTAAGTCATCTCTATAATGCTGCTTTTAAGCCAATACTTCTCAACTTGCCTGATGTCTCGAGTTGCCCAACTTTTTGAGCATGGATACTGTGCTTGAATTCCCGTTTTTAAAAATTACATCGGATTTGCTCAGATAGCACACAATACAGAAAGTTTATTTTCAGTTTGGGAACTGCAGAGTCTGGATTGCTCAGATGTTTCCAACAAATTGATCAGTCAAATGTCCCTTTACTTTGTGTGTGCACTGTCCTCCGAAGACCTCAGACAGTATATTTGTGGAGTGAATAATCCTGTTAAACATGGATGACTGGAAGGGCATTTTGCTTGCTGCTAGTGCAAACCAGAGAAGAATCACCTGATGCGAAGAATCATCTGGTGTTAAGGCTTACATTCTGGTGTTGATAGCCACTTAAAGAGTGTTAAATTAACTATTTCAAAGGCGAGGTTCATCAAATTCACTTTGATCCAGTAGAGGGCACTGTATCTCTGTCCTTATGCATACGTTTATCTGCATATTACATAGTATTAAATATGCCCTATATTATAATATATTACTATAATGCAATATAGTCTATTTGCCTATTTAAAACTCCTTTGGAAATTTACCTTTTATCTTCCCCAAAGGACGAGAGATGGTAATAATCTCAAAGGATGAGAGATTGTGTGTGATAGAGCATTTAAATGTGATGCAAGTACCTATTGTTATATATTTATCAGTCTGTGTCAACACGTGTGGAGTAAGCAAAGCAGGGATTATTTTTTTAAAAAGCAACATTGCTTTTGAAGACTCTGGCTTTTCAGGGGAGGTATTACTGCATTTTTCCCTCTCCAGGAGGAATATGAATTTCTTGAAAAGGACTTTGATGGCTCAAATTCCAGAATCCAGAATTCCGATTTTAAGTAGTTTTCTGTTGTGCCTGCCCCAAGCACGCTGCTGGGGTCGCCCGGGAAGGTCAGCTCGCGGCGTGGGGCGAGAGTTTCGGCGTCCAGGGCTGCCGGCGCCTCCCAGGCGCCTGGGTGCGCAGTGCGGGGAAACCTGCTTCTGCGCGCAGTGGTCCTGCTTCAGTTTCCCACGCGGTCCGTCGATTTCAAACGGCCCTCTAGAAATCCTCCGGGTGCGATGTGGCGGTGGGAAGACCCCTTCCCGCCCTGGCTCGCGCTCCTGGCGTCGGGGATCGTCGCCTGCTGTTCCACCTTCCCAATCCTTCATGTTCAAATACACCCCGCAGACCAGCAAGTCGGAGCAACCGAGTATTAAATACAGCAAAACAGTTCGTTGGAGCTGAGAAATCCGGCTCTAAACCT